AAGCTTAAAGCTGGGAGCTAGGCTATGGCTTCCTCATTTCCTGGAAGGACGTTGAAAGAGTATGAGCTTGTTACTACTCAGTTAAATTGAGGTTGTATTACTAAAGGAAAAGAAGAAATCGGATGCTAACTATGTGACTGGCAGTGTTAACCATAATAGAAAATAATGAAAAGAAGTGAGCTTTATTCAATCTGGGAGCCCAGAAACAAAACAAAGAGAAAGAGAGAATAGAGAAAATACCCAAAGAAAACAGGAGAAAGGAGAAATAATAAAAAATAACAACAGAAATTAGTGAAATAGAAAGCAATGAAGCAGTAAGATCAAAACCGAAACATTTTTTGGAAATCTGACAAAATATGTATTTCTAGAAAAACTGATCAAGAAAGGCATGAAAAATAATACTATAGAAGGCACAAATAAACAACATTTAAAAGGATCCAGAGCAACTGATACAGTTGAGATTTTTAAATCATAGAGAATACTCTAAAGAACTTCAGACCAAAACATTTACAAACTTAAATGAGGTGAATAATTCTTTTAAAACTGGAAGCTAACCAGAAGGATTCCTGAATAAATAGGAGATCAAGCCAAATAAGTTACTATCACAGAAAATGAATTCATAATAAAACATGTTCCTTCCTCTACTTTGCCCCTTCCTTGCCCTCTGCGTCCCCTACTCCCTGACTCCTGAAAGGGAGTGTCCCTGAGACACAAGTCACGATAATTGTAGAGAATTTTTAGCCAACTTCAAGAATTCTTTAACAGTTTTTAAAGAACTGGGGAGAGAAAATTACTTAACCCAGTTTTTGAGGATCATATTATATTGCTACCAAGACACAACAAGAATAGTATATGAAAAGAAAATCACAGTCCAATCTTACCTTTGCCAATAAATATAAAAAACTCTTTCAGCAAACTGAGTTCAGAGTCTGTCTTTTGGCCTGTTTCTATCTACCTACCTGCCTACCTATCTGTTGATCTCCATCCATCCATTCATCCGGAGTTTACCAAAGGAATGCAAGCACGGTTTAAGGTCAGAAAATACGTAACGTTTCAGGTGTTGATATAATTGATATATAATAGATTTAAAACATTTGATAAGGTCAGGATCCAGGATTGCTCCCTCCAGGGCAAGAGAGGCATAGTGAAGTCAAGACTAAATCCATAGTAGACTTTAGTTATATCCACATTAGTTAATTACTTTTAAAAGTCTCAAGCATCTATGGAAAACATTGTTATTAAGTTATTATAAAGTTTATTGTATACATGCATATCATGATGTTCTTTATATATTCTCTAAGTAGCTCCTTTGATGTTTAAAATATCGCATAATAAACATCAAACAAAAAGTGAAAGGTAGACCACTTATAAAAAGGAGTAGAACTAGAAAAGGGGTAGGGCTGAGCAAAGGGCCAAATCTTAGTAGCATTTTGGGAGAGTGGGTGACTTGTAGTTATCTTAGAGAAAGGTTGGGAAAATAAATTTTAAGAAGCGGTGAAATGTGTTACTTTCTATTTACTGATACTGATACTGTAATAAAGATTTAAAATTGTTTTCCATTATGTTTTGAGTGCCATGCTCGTACTTCTTCTGCGTCTGAAACTCTACTGAGCTTTGCCCAGGTCATGACTGCTTGTGCTTCTGCATTCTGCTCCATCTGGACAAAATATTCATTCTTTGCCTTCCTCTCATTGCCCATTCATCTTACTGCCTGGCAAACTTCTACTTATCTTTTGACTTTTAAATTCCTTTTCCTCCTTGGACAGGCTTTCCTTTTTTATGTACTAGTGAGCTTCTTGAGAACCTGCACTATTTATTTTCATGTTTGCAATTCCCTGGCCCAAAGTAGATGCTCAGTAAATATTTGTAAAATTAGTGGGCAGATTAATAAGTAAGTTAACAATCTTTTTAAAATAGATATATTAAGGTATGATTTATATTTCATAAAATTCATCCAGGAGGCGAGGATATACCTCAGTGTAGAGCTCATGCTTAGCATACCCAAGGTCCTAGGTTCAATCCCCAGTACCTCCATTAAAAATAAATAAATAAAATAAAATAAATTTTTTAATAAAAATTAAAAAATAAAACTTAGAATCAAGTGGTGGTTAGTGTATTTGGAGTTGTGCAGATGCCATCATAATAGAATTTTACAACATTTTCATCTCAAGAACCTAGTCCTCATTAGCCATCATTAACCACTGCACCGCTGTCCCAGCCCTAGGCCACCACTGATCTACTTTCTGTCCGTATAGATTTGCTTATTCTGGAGTATTCTGCCTATTTGCCTATTCTGTTTCATGTAAATTGAATTATACAACACTATGTGGTCCTTTGGCCTGGCTTTTTTTCCCATACCATAAAGTTTTCAAGGTCATCCTTTCGCAGTATGTATTAGTACTTCATTCTTTTATATTGCTGAATAATATTTTATTGGATGGATATACCACATTTTGTTTACCCATTTGTCAGTTGATGGACATTTAGGTTGTTTCTACTTTTTGGCTATTATGAAAAATGCTGCTGTGGATGCTCATGTGCAAGTCTTTGCAGGGACATCTGTTTTCACTCCCCTTGTGGAGATACCTAGGAGTGGAATTGCTGGGCCGTGTGTTATCACTCTACGTTGAACTTTCTGAGGAACTGCGAAACTATATTCCAAAGTAGTTGCGTCATTTTACATTCCCACCAGCAATGCATGAGCATTTCCATTTCTGTACAGACTTAACAATATATGTTACGGTGTGTCCTTTTAATTGCAGCCATTCTAGTGGGTGTGAAGTGGTATCTCCCTGTGGTTTTGATTTTGATTTTCACAATGACCAATGATGTTGAGCAGCTTTATTGGGCATATTAGCCATTCATGTATCTTTGGAGAAATATGTATATAATTGTTTGCTCATTTTAAAAGTTGGATTTTCTTATTACTGAGTTATAAGAAGAGTTCCTTAAGTATTCTGAATACAATTGGTTATTACATATATAATTTGACAGTATTTTCTCTTAGCCTGTCTGTGTATATTCTTTTCAGTTTCCTGATTCTGTCATTTGAAGATCAAAAGTTTTTAATACTGATGAGGTTCAGTTAAAAACCTTTTTGAAAATTACTCATGCTTTTGGTATCATATCTAAGAAATCATTGCCTAACCCAAGATCATAAAGATACACATCTATATTTTTTATTGCAAGTTACTTAGTTTTAACTCTTATATTTAGGACTCTCATCCGTTTTGAGTTGATTTGTTTTTTTTGTATGGTAAAAGGTGAAGGTTCAAATTCAATCTTTTGC